CCTACGTGGAAAGCAAGTGTTTATAATTAAGATACACCCGTGGGCTAATCCTAGCATAATGAAATATGAGAACAGAATATTGGTGTAATAACTTCTATATACGTCTATCCAAATGACGGCAATTACAATTTTGTCCTGGCGCTGGGTGAAAACTCACTATTATACAAATGTTTTCATGAGGAAAATATATTACGAACAGTATTGTTATTTTTTCTTGATCGTTAGTGTATGTGTTATAGATTAATTAGACATATTATATATATACATATATATATATATATGTATATGTATATATATATATATATGTTTATATATAAATTTATATTTGTTTATTTATTTATCTGTTTGTTTATACTTATGTGTGTACGTGCGTACGCGGCAACACACGCACGCACGTGTAGCAGAACACACGGGAAGAGGCGCGTATATAACAGATAAACAGCGGCTACATCCGAGCCCGCCCGTGATGATAATAAACCTCGATAGCGACACCTAGGTGCGACAAGAAGGAAGAAGCGATGGTGGAGGAACACCTGTCTTCGAAGTCGCACCGTGAGAAACGTGTCACTGTGTCGCGCGTTTATGATCCCAATTACTAACAGCCTTAAAAGACATGAACCTGGCTGTTCTCTCAACTAACCCTTGTTTCCCTCTCTTGTTTCTATCCGCGTCTCTAACTCTCGATTGTACCGTTTGTATCGATTGCAGAATTTCTGTCATGTCTGAGAATAAACGCCCGTGTGGTATGTTACGAACATAGTTATTGTTTGCCTCTGTTGGTTTGAGTTACACCCTTTCCTACACCCACGCCTAGGCTTAGAGCGCCAGTAGATCCACGCCGCCTCTGCGCTCCTCCGTTACACTGGTACCGTGACCAGGATTCGAACCTGGGTTATTGCCCTCCTCCGTTACACACGCACGCACGGCACGCACGCACGACCCACGCACGCACGCACGCCACGAACGCACACACATGTGTGTCGTGCTTTTCGGTCTCAAAATATGTGTCCCAAAATAGTCAATGTCGGATTATCATTAAACCGCGTATTTTTGCTCAAAAATTGTGTAAATTGTGCAAACACCTGCCATAGATAGAATTATGTTCTCGGTGTCGTATACAGCCACTTACACTAAACTCAGTGTATTGTCTACAGCCCCAAGCAGAACCTCACAACTTTACTCAAGCTCTATAAATGATACGATCGTAGATATCACGTAAACACTTAATCGTACACCTATGCTATGTACACAGAAATGGCACGCACTCGTAACGTCGTCGCCGTTGAAGCCAAGATAATTTTCTTCGCCGATCTCACACGCTCAAACTGGACAGGGGGTAACTGACATGAACCCAGTACCAAAATGGAGTACGCGTCCCAAAACAGTTGGTCATATATATATATATATTACACTATATATTTATGACACATCTAGTAGATTTAATGAGGTTGAATGCACAGCACATTTATTCTGTCTCTATCTTATCCTTCTCTCTATCTCGTGTGCAATCACTCACCTCTCCAATCCCATATGATACGTTGATGGTCATGATTCCAGGGTTACCAGTCACCGGATCTCTTGTAAAGAGCACACCTGCAGCGTCTGCCTCTACCATCTCTTGTATGCAGACGCCGACATCTGCGGCTACAATCTGGCCGTGATTCCTGTAAAACAAACATATAATTCGCATCTAAACACGCATACCTTAGTCTGGAAAGAATACAGAATACAGTGTACCTGCGTTTGAACTCTAGCATGGCATTCACATACGTGTGCAGAACCAAGCAAATGACAACAAGGACAATGAGCCTGACTATATATAGACACAGGTTATACCTCTTATACGCAACAGCCTGCTGTGTGAATGATGATGCCCAACATTTTACAATGGCATTGCAAATCTGCAAAGATGACAATAATATTCAATTACTGTTTTGTAATTCTACGTCGAAAACTGCATATTTGTACCTATATAACTCCTATGCATGATACCACGTACGGATTTTATCTTGTGATCGACAATTGAAAAGGTTTCGTCATCCCTATGTTAAATATTGCATTTCAAAACATCTCTTACGGTGCAGATTTAGTCCTAACCTCTTTAATGCCAATGACACCAAGAAAAGTCTCCATCTGTCCAGCGAATGATGCTTCCCCGCCATCTTCCCCTAAAAATTAATACTAAAGATTATATCCTACAGTTGTATTAAGCGTTTAAGCATATATTACTAAATAGGCGCGAGTTATTTCTGATTGGTTAGCGTTAATAATCAGAAAGTTACATTTTGAATTTGATCTACTGATACTGAATACTGATTTTAAATCTTTCAATCATTACCTATAAAATAAGCAAATAATGTGCATAGAATTTGCCGGCAAGAACGTTAGCGAGCCACTAGGATTATGGACATAGTACGACCAGGGTTACATAATGATATAATTTATATATTATAGATCCAACTAATGTTTAAATTAAAATTCATTGTGGACTGTCATACAATATTGACATCAGATCCTACCAACAGCAGACGATCGTACAGCAAATGTCTTCTTGCTCCATTCATCGCCAAACAGCTCTGACAGTTGTTTCAACACTGCCCGTTCCAACTCCGGAGTCAGTTGAGTTTTGTTAAAGCTTTCAACAATGGCCTTGGACATCTCGTGAATATCACCTTCCTTTCGTTTACTGGAAAAAGGTTAGCGGCATTTAACGTTGTTTGTATTAACGCAATATAATCATATAATATATAGAATGTAACAATAGATAACGGACGATGGAACACGTTATGAATTACTTTGTATGTTGTTACTTATAAAGCCTATTTTTTTACATCTTTCAGTTATGTCTGTTCTGTGGCAAATAATAACAGAAATAAAATACTCGTAGATAATAATAATTTGAGATTATTTATTCCTGGTTATAATACATACTATGCAACATTTTCCAGCTCTTTGACAGCGGCACGTAGATGTTTGTTATCTTTCAGATGGTGCCTGTATGCGGCTACCGTCAGGCAGAAGCCCCTCGGAACTATGAACTGAACATAACGTGAAGTGTTTATACGCAAGTATAAACCCTACTATTATAGGTTTATTTACTTCCATTGGCGGCAATGTACAAACTACTGAGCGTCTAGCTCTTTGCAGAACTCGCTGGGGAACTGACTGAGAAACTTTTAAACAGGAACAACGTGAGCGTGTAAACATGATACCAACATGTACCTTGCCATCTAGCTGAGTCAGAAGAGCCAACTGCGTTCCCTTACCACCAACCAGCTGAGATGAAGCGCAGGCAGGTTTAGTGAACTCCAGTGTCAGGTCACAAGGTCGATTTATGTCGATCGCTTGAAAATGTAGAACACAATAAACAGACATACAAAGGCATACACGTCGTCCACACCAAATTTAAAAATTTCAATAATTTGGCTTAATCAATGTTTCTTATGTTCGATATGTCCGAAGTGTGAGATAATGACTCTGCAGCTCCTGCAATATTACACCCTTCTAACTTTAACATATTATACAAACTTACTTTCGTACTTACTTTACTTACATACACTATGACCACTCTTTCTGTTCGAATACAAAAGTAAATAACCAGCCGTTAAGTACGTTGACACCTCTAGCAAAAATACCTGAAGTATAATACCTGGTTCTTTTAGCAACGGGACTGACTTTTGAAGCCGTACTGGACAAAGTCCATTGTGTCTGAAAAAAAGAAAATATGATCACAGCGGAGAACTAGTAATCCTTGACGTGATGTCTATATTGGTGTATATATTCTACCAACTATCTAAGCCGACATCTTATACCAGAGTAATCACCGTGAATGATAACTGATAGAACAACAAGATACGAGACCTGTACATATACTCGGTGAAGCCCCAGCCGCGGACTCCATTCATCGTTACGTCAGTGAATTGTTTGTGGATCTTAACACTCCACCTTTCTCCTGAATAGACAATCTGATCCTGTTTCTTCTCGACCGAAAAGGCACACTGGAGGTGACCTGTACGTGGGAATAATTTAAACGTCGCGTCAGCATAAACGATGGATGGATGGATGGATGGATGGAATGGTCATGGACATGGCATGGATGGATGGATGGATGTGATGATGGATGGTGTATGGATGGATGGATGGATGGATGGCATGGATGGATTGGATGGATGGATGGATTGGATGGATGGATGGATGGATGGATGGATGGATGTTGATGGATGGATGGATGATGGATGATGGATGGGATGGAATGGATGGATGGATGGATGGATGGATGATGGATGATGGATGTATGGATGGATGGATGGATGGATGATGGATGGATGGATGGATGGATGGATGGATGATGGATGGATGGATGGATGGATGATGGTGGATAGATGGCATGGATGGATGGCTGGATGAAGATGGATGAAATGGATAAATGGATGGATGGATGGATGATAGATGGATGGATGGATGGATGGATGGATGGATGGAGATGGAGATTGGATGGATGGATGGATGGATGGCATGGATGGATGGATGGATGGATGGATGGATGGATGGATGGATGGATGGATGGATGGATGGAGGATGGATGATGGATGGATGGATGGATGGATGGATGATGGATGGAGGATGGATGGATGGATGGATGGATGAGATGGATGGATGGATGGATGGATGGATGATGGATGGATGGATGGATGGATGGATGGATGGATGGATGGATGGATGGATGGATGGAGATGGATGGATGGATGGTTGGATGGTGGATGGATGGATGGATGGTATGGATGGATGGATGGATGGGAGGTGGATGGATGGATGGATGGATGGATGGATGGATGGATGGATGGATGGATGGATGGATGGATGGATGCATGGATGGATGGATGGATGATGGATGGATGGATGGATGGATGGATGGATGGATGGATGGATGGATATGGATGGATGGATTGATGATGGATGGGATGGATGGATGGATGGATGATGGATGGATGGATGGATGGATGGATGGATGGATGGATGGATAGATGGATGAATGGATAGATGACTGGATGGATGGATGGATGGATAGATGGATGGATGGATGCGTGCATGGATAGATGGATGGATTCATGCATGCATGCATGAATGGATAGATGGTTGGATGAGTGGGTGGATGGGTTTGTGGGTGTATAGATGGACGAATAGAGAGATTTACATATAGCCTTACCTGTAACTGCATTAAAGCATAACTTGTCAGAAGGCGGTGTAATCTCTCCATGTAGAGATAAGTGCAGGTCAGTTGATTTCAGTGTACGTGTCTGTCCGCAGGGCAAAATCACATATCCGGAGACGATACTGAAAATGCGTCGGCAAAGGGAAAATTAATACAGTAAAAATCCGCGTATAAGAACCTGCATTTTTTCCAAGTCAGCCTGAAACGGTTCTTATATAATTGGTGTTTACTGGGAAATTATGCTATTTAGGTTCTTAAATAGGTTGTTATTTTTTAAGATAAAAAGCTGATTGTTGCTGGTAGAATATTGGTACGGTCCATTGTTTATATAAAATATGCATATAATTATGTCTAGATGACTGCAATCTAGACAAATACAAACCCTATTCTAGGTTATCTTATTTCTTGTTAGAACAAAACTAGATTAGATTGCTTGATAGAGCTTGTTTTGGTTAATTTATGAATTTTTAAGTGTTAACTGAATTTTATCAGATAAGAACCTGTTTCAAATTTTTGGCTAAAACAGGTTCTTATGTCAAGGGGGTCTAAATGGAAAATCTTAGCCGTACAGGTTCTTAATCACTAGGTTCTTATAAGCAGGTTTTTACTGTATCGTGTCCAAACATTCGCTTGCATTCGTCGTTTTCTGTAACATGGGTGTATCGGTTACGCTTGGAATCAATACAGTTATGATGCAATCGATAATATGATTACCTAACTTATCAAAATGACGTGGTCAAGCATTTCTGTCACTATAATAATTATATTGTATGTCTTCTTTATTATGTAATTTAAATTTTACCACAACGTAGTTACAGATCGGCTCTAAATCAGTGTAGCGTATACGTACTGAGAAAGAAACGAAGGAATACTTGCTGCCGAAAACGAGAAAAACGTTCCATCCTATTGAACAAAAAGTATAGAAATATCAATGTTAGCATCTTTTATTCACAATTGTTTTCATCTGGTAGCAAAGACACTTTATATAAAAGTTTTTTTTTATTTGTACATTTTTAAATTGATACCAAAGGATATACTCGTAGAGTATAGTCGTAGTCATTTTATTTACATTTGAATCGCATTTAGGTTTCATTTAGTCCTCCTCAGGGTAGGAGAATGACAGGTAGGAATAATAATTATTATTTCAATTTTAATGAAGGTGCATACTCAAGGTGGTTATAAGCCTGTGAGTTTCGAAGATCACATTGTTAAACATTTTAATACCCCGTACAGACTGCAAAATTTGATATGGTATTAAGCTTGGTGCGGGATAACTTATCCCGGGCCTGGCCCTCCTTCATTTGCGGGGCCAAATTGGTGCGGGCCAGCGCGTATCTGGAGCGGGGTAGCGTGTACACACTGCAAAAATTTGGCGCGCGTCTGACCTGCCCCAGTTTAATACCATATGAAAGTTGTAATCTGTACGCGGTATAAATAAACCTATAATACCATGATTTGATTATTATGTATCGTCGTTATTATAACAGCTGGTGCTCTCAGCAGATGCAGGTTGGCACTGGCCGTTAATCCACGTCAGCTAAACGAATAATAATCTAAATAATCTAACCTCTAGATATCCACAGTGTGACATGTATCTGTTGTACGTTGTCCAGTCGCGAATGCCCCAGGAGTGTTGCCTGACGCCCCTTAGCAGCAATGTCCTCTCTGGTTCTCTTGCGACAGTCAGTTTACCAAACAGCTGACCACAGACCTCATACCTCTGATGTTCCTCGCTACAAATAGTAAAACTGCATTATATTATGTTATGAAATGATTTCGTATTTTTGTTATGGGTACACATGAGTAAGAGCTATGATTTAAAGTGATTGTGTTCTCTTTCAATGTATATTACAATTATGATTTCTCCTAACTTCAAAGTTCTTCGTCTGCTTTTTTTTATTTTGCAAATGAGTGTCTTTTAAGCGCACCTAGATTTGCGTAAACGATTGAAGAAGGAGGCGTTCCACTTCTCTCTGGCAATAGCATCAGAAACCACGGATGGATCGTTGTCGTAATTCAAGGAAACCCGTTCCGTCAGAGCCTTCCACCTACCGACCAACGTTATGATTATGCATGCGCGTAATTTCAAGAGCTTTGTATGCTATGAGTGATGTTCGCTATTTACATTTTTTCATTAACGCATCTCCCGACAAGACCGACTTTTTTGCATGCAAGAATACATTTAAAAATATACACGTTGCGTTACGTATATTGTTTAAAACATCTATAAATTATTATTTTACTCCTACAGCTTCATGATCGTAAAATGTGGTTGTAAAACTTATTGCCATGAGTACACATACGTCTGCAATAAAATCCCGGGAAAATCTGCCAAAGATTGCACGTGGCTCGCAATTGTGTTATGACCACGATCCTGTGACTCTTTGATCACATATATACAGGTTGGTTTATCAAGTCTATTATAAATGTATGATGGCTGACGTGTTTTATTATAATAATTATATAGACATGTATATGGTGTGGTTACGTTTAATACAACGTATGACCATTGCATATAGAGCGTGTTATTTACAGCAAGTACTGTTATGGAAGATAATTTCATGCTATATATAGTACTTGATTGTCTCACAATTAGTATAAATAATCATGTGTGAATATTACGTATCTATACGAATATTACATAGACGTGTATGAATTTATTTTGCTCGTACGCTAGGCTAGCAGGGCCTGCTTTATGATGTGTGTCGTTGCGCTGCATGAGTCATATATATATTCAAATTATCTCCTGAAATTATCGATACAGTACTTACACGAAAGCAAACTCAACGTGGACGAGATTTCCTTCATCGTCGCGTCCCACTCGTTCTCTGTCCTTGCCTATAAAATTGCCAGTTTGTACACATATGTGTTCAGACCTTCACACTCACACTAACAATCGCAGACTCACGCACGCACGCACGCACGCACGCACGCACGCACGCACGCGCACACACACACACACACACACACACACACACACACACACACACAGAGAAGCGAAGAGAGGAGAGAGAGAGAGAGAGAGAGAGAGAGAGAGCGAAAGAGACAGTCGTCCTAACACACACACGAATGCCAGCACACGACCGCACGTCCGTACGAACGCACACACGTGCATATTCCCGCATGCGTACACCATTTACAAAATCACTTTATTCAATGTCACTCTTCTACATATTGATCATAATACCTCAGACGACCGTTGAATGTGAGCCTACACTTGGATAGCGGTTCTAAAACCTCAAACTTCAACCCTCCTGCAGTGAATGTTTGTCCATCGGTGTTATACACAGTTGTATCAGGAAACCCGGGAAAGTGGAAGTAACGGCCATCTTCTAGCTTCAGCATCAACCACACCTGTAGCATATATTTAAAGGGAAACTGAAAGCTTTCAAACTTCAATCAAGGTGTTTATCAAAGAAACCAAGAACTGCATGTGTACTCTAAGGAAAAACAGGGTAGTTATATTATCGTTCAACATAAGGTTTATGACACATATATATATTATCAAGAGCGTATAAAGAAGGAGCGCGTACAGCGGTGAAATGCTGAAACCATGTTGCAGTATTGTTCGTAGGGTCTATGTCCCCCTGACCTCTGTTTGACCTGGCTCGTTTAGCTATTTCTGACTAACCCTAACCCTAACCCTAACCCTATATATATATATATATTATTCAGGAATAGCTAAACGAGCCAGGTCAAACAGAGGTCAGGGGGACATAGACCGTATCTGCTGCAGGCTCAGTCGAATTAAGAAACTTTGCCCGTTTTATTTTAACGATTCCTTGCAGTAGTTGATCAGCTGTCCTAAATATAAAACAAACCGCTTGTCCCTACGATGCTCCTACGCTGAGATAATGAGCGGTGAAAATCTGGTATTTTTGCCGAAAACCGACTCGAGATCCGTGTTTGCTGCGACCCTCTCTCGCACAGGCACTTGGGCCGTTTCAATAAGAAAATTATGGTTAACAAGAGCCGCAGAGCGTCTGGGTTCATCTGAGGTCTGTTGCTAAGGTTATAAACGTAACATTTAAGTCGTGCGTAGTGACACTTTTGTTAGGCGCAGATATGCAGATACGCAGTTACGTACACATCATTTCAGCAACCTGCATTCTGCATACCTCCCAAATCCCATTGGTTGATACAAATCGCGTGCCTGAAACTCCTGTTTTATGGTGGATTGTGACCCTCCCTAACCCTTCTTTTTTTTTTTATTAATTGTTGTAAAAATTATTTGTTGTTATTAAATTGTTGTAAATAAATCATGTAAATATTTGCGTTAATTGGGAAAAAAATAGTTAAATGGATAAAGATAGAAAAATACATAAAACAGGTAAATAAAAAAAATCAGATGGGATTCGAGCCAACGACCTTTGAGTCGTGACACCTGTGCTGTACGCGTTCGGCTATCCAAGCTTATTGGGTTTCTAGATTATGGATGTGCCATGAATATGACAACACTGTCACGTCATTGCGGCAGTTCAGGAATCCATGTTTAACCCTCCTCTTGAGGGTCAAAAGATTATCAGACACTTACTCTTCGCACGTCAGTGGAAAGCTCATTTCATGGTCCTTTCAATAAAGTGATAAAAATGGTAGGTCAGCGCTGAAACAAAAAAGTTTTTCACTCTGTCCATTAGGCCATGTCCTCAGAAAATGTCTGATATCTGACCTTTCCCCACTGCTCTTTGACCTGTGACCTCAAATTAGTTTCGCTCTGGTGATGGGTTTCCTCCTAAATAATATAATCCGGTAATATACACCGAATATTAAGAGCATAGGTCGAGCCGTTAAGATTTGTGCCGCAATTCCGTATTTCCTCCTATACTTTAAGTTAAGGGGGAAATATTCCCTCTCCGTTTACACATCTTGACCTTTGACCCTTGACCCCCAAATTTGTCATCCTGAGTCCTTCTCACGATCCCCTCCAGACGTCCCGAATATCGTGACCGTACGTCGAGCGATTAAGATTCGCAGTGGCTGGAGGTACGGTAGCCGTCGTTCGTTGAAGCCCCTTTTTGGCGTTAGGGTTAGGGTTAGGGTTTGCCCGCGTCTAGGCGTAGAGCTTAGGGTTCAGGGTTTTAGGGTTCTCAGCTCAGTCAGAACTCTCAAAATCGCTCGAATCTTAATTTCCCAAGCGGTCATTCTGAAATCTTGCGCCACCGCCGCCATCTTTTGCTCGTTAAGTATAAAGCGTAATGACTCCCCTACCCGTAGTCTCGAAACATTAAATACGGCTACCGCTCACCCGTACCACTGCCATTAAGGTGTCCCCTGTCCCAACGGTTGACCGACGCACGACGGACCACGGATACCACGCACTGACATGCGATTCTACAAGCGCTATCTGACTACGTCAGATAGCTAAAAAGACAAGCCTGGCAGACTATACCTACCCAGACCAGTCCTAATGCTTCATTTACCCTAATAAAACTTCACTTACAATACCGTCCAATACATCCGCTGCCCAAAACATCTCCCAATAGCGCGCCCACCCCATGTTCACAAATACACATAATATTATAATACCTCGGCTATTTGCTGCACAATGCTCTCGGCCGCTATATGCACCATGCCTACATATCGCCTCCACCTACGGTAGTCAAAGGTTTGCAACTGACCGGCCGAAAACCATGCGTTTCTCGCCACAACATACTCTATCGCTCCGCTGACCAAGTCACCAACTACAACCAGTACTAGTACGGGTTAGCCCAACAACTAGCTTGTGAGGAATGGGTTCGGTGAGCGCAACGAACCGTTGTTAGGAAATAGCTACACGTGTTTCTGTAAAGGAAGAGAACGTTTCTATAAATCAAACATGGGTGGCGGGCGTTACAATGCCTGAAGCCCGGTATGTTGGCGGACAATTCATCTCAGTGTTTGTAAAACCGACAAATGTGGACTAAATTGACAACCGCGTACCCACCATAAGCAACGGCCACCGCTCCTACTTTATCCTCGAGCACCTGCATGCGCTATTGTAACACATCTGCCCCCCCCCCCACCTACCACCCACCACTGTAGTACGTACATATTAGACACACCTCTCGTATTACTTTCACTACCGTTTAGTCTGACCGTTATTGTTGCATTCTGACCACCTCACGATGGCACCGCCAGTCACAACGAAAGCGCTCGCTCGAGCCACACTCCTCCAAGCGCCCAACCTCACCCGGCTCCCCAAGCCCAGGTGCGAGAAACAAAACAAAAAAAAAAAAACTATCCGCGCATTTGGCGCGTATCCGTTGCGTAATGCGTATTCGTCTTTGTCCAGGGAAATCAATACAGAAATCGGTCACTCACATTAAAAGCACATGAACTGAGTAAAACTCAACTCAAGTTGTCCTATTTCAGAGTGTTCATCTCCTCTTTGCCTCACGCGCCCCACCTAGCCGTATCTTAAGTTTAAATGTTTTTTATCTCGCACGCACAGGCTTCACGGAGTATCATTCGCTTTCATACTTAACCCGAGACCAACAGACGCGCCCGGCCCGGTGGCTCCAGATTCGAAATACCTCCGCTGGCGGACACTAAAATTCACGATTGAGAGTTAGATGAGCCATAGACACCTAATACTCCACCATTTGCTGAAAAAAATGGCGTCAACTGACAAGCCAAACAGCAAATCTGTCAACTGTTATTACCCCAAGAAAACAAGCTCCCTCTATAACATATCAAAACTCTTAAAAATCCTCGCTGGGGAAGCTTCCCATGGCGTTCCCATTTTTCAAAATGCCGCCATACAACTGATATTTTCCCTATACCTCCGCTTCTAAATTAACATAGAGCTTTGATTTAAGTGCAAACAATACATTTTCAGGACAAGCGAATCAAAAAATGACACACAGTTTAATAATGCTAAACTGACAAAAAGCCGAAATGCAGCCAAAACACCATCTTCGATGGTGCCGGAACACAACGCGCCAGCCTATTCCACAGACCTGACAGTTCGCTGCCGCCCCGTCGTCGCCCCCCCTCACTCTCGTCCGTGAGCATAGCCCTCGTCCGCCAGTGTTACGCCCATCCATCACCTTTCGCCAACCACTATGCGCGACAAACCCACCCGATACAGCATAAAGATCTTAGCCACAAGATAAGGGTCTGAATGACATATCTGCTCCTGGCGGGCTTCCACACAGAAAATATTCTTAGAGCCTCGTGCGTCATTCCGTCTTGATGTGCGTATTCTAGGTGAGCTGCGTTAGCTGAATCTCGGTAGTTATACTCTTATTCATGACAATCTTTCCCGGGTTACATATGATGTACAGACAACTGCTTATTGCCAAGCAGCTACGATGACATGCTCCTTGTCTGATGCCAGCATCTGAATGCCTGTGATTTTGTCAGACATACTTGATGCTACTCCCTCAACCATCTTGCAAGCCACATTACCACTGGAGGAGACCAATGACCAACAATGTCACCATATGATTAGCCTACGACAGACGGAACTGGAAACACTGATCTTGATAACTTGCTGCCCTCCTACAAGAACCTGATAGAAGTTCCGTGTCTGCAGAGGAGTTCTGCCCTAATGATGATGGTTAACCAACCAAGACTCTCAGCCAAAACCGAATCTTGAATCCTCTAGGACTACCACATTTGGTCTACAGTACTATGCGAGAATGGGGCATACTACCGTGAAGTTTGTCAGGACAGAGCGCATTGGCAACTGAGTCGTGCACCTTGAAGCTGTCGTCAGAAGCGCCCCTACTGACAGCCTCTGGGCACAACCTCTACTACCAAATCCACCCCGCCCTCTATGTGCACCGGATGATCAAAGCTCAAGGATGCATTCACACAGATGTGTTACATACTATTCGAAGAAGGGTCCCATGTTGTCAGAAGAAGTGTCATCGCCTATGGCTGGTCTTTCCTTACATCTCTACCATCGAACAGGTCCTGATGAGATATGAAAGACCAGCAGCTGCCTGACGAGAGGCCGAAGCAGATCAGCTCAGCAACAGTCTTCTTCACATATGGCTCCTCCATCCTTTGCTCTGTGCTGAACGTCAACAATGCTATGCGAGCACCTCACGAGGCGTCAACTCAAACACTGCCCTGAAACAAAACTAAGACATGACAAATGCTAGACAATCACTTGACAATGAAAGACACACATGCATGTATCACGCTATCGCCAAGAGGAGAACACCCTTCAGCTCAGACCGCAGCGTTGCGCAGGGCATCTTCACAGGGGCATTGCAACCAGCACAGTCAATGTGAGCTCAGCAAAAAACTGGTGGAGACACTATCCTGACCAACATGGATGACAATGACTCTCGACTACACATTCAAAGAGCGAAGATCAGTGCCATCAACTTGCGCCGAAATTGGCCATTAAAGATGATTGTGAGGCAGTACCAGGTGGATCCCAAAAGCCTGCTTTCCACGCGATCTAGACAATTGCGCCAAAAGCGACAGAGGATCTTGAGTCTGCTGTTCAATATGCAGCTGTGCCACTTACCCAACCAGCTCTGTTTGATCACACTGCTCCCCCTCCGTACAGCCACAGAAGGCGAGTCGCTAGCAGATGCTATCTGACACTCCGACACACCGATTCACCTAGGTCCACGCAATCCATCGGAACGCTGGCTCGATATATATCAAAGTATTTGCACGCAATACACAGAAGTATCGTCACCAAAAACGATTGGACAGGCAACATCGGTTTGATGGCTATGAATCGTACATCAACAAAGACACCAACATACTCCCAATGACGTAGCGCCAGAGGAATGCTGGAGCAAGGTGACGTTTGATGAAGATATGCACGTTCACAATGAAAAGGAACAATTCCTCCAAACAAGACAATTAAACAACAGCCGTCATCAACATGCTGTCAGCACCAAAACTACCGGGCACAGACACTCCCCAGACACATCATTCTTTGCAGGATACGCGATCTCTCATAGTGCAGAGGCTTAGTGACTCTGCAGCACCACCTGATGGACAGATCTGTTAATCCTTCCTACTATCCACACGCAACCATCAAGTCATGTAACCTGTTCTTCCTATACCCTAGCCAACGAAGAAGTGAAGAAACCGCTGTCTGAAATAAGTCTGTCAAGCAGCAGTTAAGCCCCGATGTATCACAGCACATTCTTCTTCATGCACGCTCTCCTGGATTGAACTACTTCCCGCGTGGTATGGCAAATCTGGCAACGGAGCTCCTCTCAACACCAATCAAACCAGTACGCACGCCGTAAACAAGCAATGGTTGCATGTATAATATCTGAAATGTGTTCATGGATTCCTGGGCCCCAGAAATGCGTATGTTTCCACTTAAAATCAAGCCTTAATCAGTAGAAGCGAATATATGTGAAATATCCAGCGTTTATTGCGGGTAATTTGCGAAAAGGCTGCCATCGGCCTGTGGCCATTTAGCTTATCAAATGTTTTCAATGGCATTCCTTCCCCTGAAAATGTATTTTATCTATCTAATATCTATAAATCTCTTATATTAGTAAGCAGACGATAATCTAGCGAATATCTAGTTTTATGGCCCATCTCTTGAAAAATGGCCGCCATCCGGAACCTTCACACCAGGATTTCCTTCAAGAGTTTATGCTTATAGTGGACGACGTTCCCAAGGGCCATAAAACAGTTGAACACTTCTGTTGCCAATTGTCCGAGTCATATCACATAGATCTCGGACCTATAACTCCTAACCCTAAACCTAACCCTACCATAACCTAATCCTAACCCTAACCCTAACCCTAACGCCAAAAAGGGGCTTCAACGACCGACGGCTACCGTACCTCCAGCCACTGCGTATTTGTTTTGGACATTCAAACATTACATTGGCGACGTTCGGATGTGAAGATGAATCTACCACAATTTGAACGATTTTCTGTGCATGATGAGCCGGCAACAGTGGGGAAACGTTGGGCGAAATACGTCAAGAGACTGGATAAATTGTTCACGGCATTTGCTGTTACGGATGCCAATCAACAACGGGCGCTATTTCTCCACTACGCTGGTCCAGAGGTTTCCGATATCTTCGACACGTTACCGGATACAGGTGAGGACTACACATCAGCTAAAGCAGCACTCGAGAAGCATTTCTGTCCGTCAGTAAGCATTGAATGCGAACGTTTCGTGTTCAGACAGTGTTGACAAAATGATGAAGAGACTGTTGATCAATATTGTCACAGACTACAAAAACTTGCAGTTTCCTGTGATTTTACGGACAGAAATGCTGAAATCACAGATTATTCTTGGGTGTCGGTCACAACACCTACGCCGACATGCATTGCGAGATACAATCACACTGGACAAACTTCTTGCTACAGCTCGGGCCTATGAGCAAGCGGATCACCATGCTGCGGTAATAGAGGGTACAGAAGCTACCGATACAACTGTCCATGCTGTCAGGATTCGCACTAGCCCAGCAGTGTATAACCAGAGACAGTCGCAGCAACGGTATCCAGCAAGGTTTGAACGCCGCACATGCCGCAACTGTGGGGGTGGGTTTCCACATATGAGCAAACCTTGTCCAGCCAAGGGCAAGACATGTCATGACTGTGGTAAGCAAAATCATTTTGCCAAGTACTGTTTGTCTAAACATAGACCCACAGCTGTGAAGCACATCCAAGCTAGCACCAGTCATGATGCCACTGTGCGTGATTCAGTTCCAGACCAGCAACCTCCCAATCCAGGTCAAGACGAACACTATCAGTTTCATGTAGAAGCACGACCAATGCCTAAACCAACGGTAACTGTCAATGTAGACGGCACTCCCATCAATGCTGTTATCGATACGGGGGCGTCAGTCATGATGATGTCTCTGCGGTCATTCGCACGGCTCCAGCCGCAGCCACGTCTGGTACCGCCTTCCGTTCCGGTGTACGGATACGGAAATTCAACTCCTCTTGATGTCAGGGGTACCTTCACAGCAAAGGTCAGTTACAGGTCATCATCTGCAGACACTGAAATTTACGTTACCTCCCATGATGGCGACACACTTTTGAACTTTGCAACAGCCACTGCGCTTGGTCTGGTGGAGCTTGCGTATGCCACATCAGCTAGTCCTGAATCTGTATATCCAGATCGGTTTACTGGCATAGGCAAACTGAACAATTATCGATACCACATACAAGCAGACTCTTCGGTATCTCCTGTAGCCATTCCTCATCGTCGGATCCCGTTTCATATGCGCCGTAAAGTAGAACAGAAGCTTGATCGATTGTTAGAACTTGATATCTTCGAGAAGGTGGAGAACACACCAACGCCGTGGGTCTCGCCTATTACGGTCGTACCTAAGCGTGATAGTGAGGCCATTCGCATTTGTGTTGATATGCGCAACGTCAACACTGTCATTAAGCGTGAACGTCACATCATTCCGACGGTTGATGATCTCATCGCTTCTCTCAATGGAGCAACAACATTCAGCAAGTTGGACTTAAATTCTGGCTATCATCAGATCGAACTCGATGAAGAGTCGCGTCAGTACACAGTCTTCTCTACACATGTTGGCCTCTTCAGATATAAGCGCCTGAATTTTGGTATTTCCTCAGCGTCAGAGATCTTTCAGCAAGCAGTACAGTCTACTTTTCATGACCTATCAGGTGTGCTGAACATCAGCGATGACATCCTTGTCTTCGGTCGCAGTCAAGCGGAGCATGATGCACGACTCGAGGCGGTTATGCAGCGCCTCCGCAAGGTGAACCTGACGATAAATCCTGCTAAGTGTGTCTTTGGCACTGATCGCGTCATGTACTTTGGACATGTCTTCGCAGAACAAGGGATCAGTCCCGACCCGCGAAAGGTGGATGCAATGAACGCTGTCACAGAGCCACAGAATATCTCAGAAATGCGCAGTTTTCTGGGAATGGTGAACTACTGTGCACGCTTCATTCCAGACCTGGCGTCTATCTCTGCACCACTCAGAAACCTCACAAAGGCTGACGTGCCTTGGACTTGGGGACCATCAGAGACAGCGGCATTCAGTAGCATCAAGGAACTAGTCTCAAAACATTGCACTATGGTATACTTCAACCCTGCAAACCAGACTGAGGTAATTGTTGATGCAGGCCTCCATGGTCTTGGTGCAATTCTTGTCCAGCATGACTCACGAACACAGTCGGTCGTCCCTATCGCACTCGCTAGTCGGTCATTAACGCCGGTCAAACAGCGGTACTCGCAGACTGAAAGAGAAGCTCTTGCCGTAACATGGGCTATCAGGCATTTTCACATCTATCTATACGGTGGATCATTTGTGGTCATTACCGATCACAAGCCGCTATTAGCAATGTTCAACAATGCTAGTTCGAAGCCGTCCATACGCATCGAACGCTGGCTAATGCGCCTGCAAGCGTACGACTTTGAAGTAAAGTACCATCCTGGAAAACTGAATCCCGCAGATTATATGTCGCGGCACCCACAAGCTACTCACAATGCAGGAATATCAGCTGAGAAAGAAATCGCTGAGCAACATGTTTCTTTCATCACAGCACACGCGATTCCAAAGACAGTCACGCGTGATGACATAGTTTCAGCCACAGGCGCCGATGACGTCCTCCAGTATTGTATGCGCGCGGTCCAGAAAGATAACTGGAAAGATTTTCTAGAATCTGCAGACGCGTCCTTACAGTCTGAATACAGGAGCCTTCATGAAGTTCGTGATCGACTGACAGTATCGGAAGGAAACAGCATGCTTCTGCGTGATCATCGCATTGTCATACCACGTTCGCTTAGACAGCGTATAATTGACATAGCGCATGAGGGCCATCAAGGCATAACGAAGACCAAGGCTCTTTTGCGTGAGAAGGTATGGTTCCCCTCCATCGATCGTCTGACTGAACGCACAGTTCGTGATTGTCTATCTTGTCAGATGAACGCGGTTGAGCACGCCAAAGAACCACTTAAAATGACTGAGCTTCCGCAGCTACCGTGGTCGGAAGTCAGCGTGGACTTCGCCAACTTACCCAGCGGTGAACACATGTTGGTAGTCATTGATGATTATTCACGTTTTGTGGAAGTAGAGATTGTTTCCTCTACTGCCGCAAGTCTCGTCATTCCGAAACTTGACCGGATCTTCTCGAGCTTCGGAGTTCCCACGGTGGTCCGTACCGATAATGGTCCACCATTCAACAGGGCAGAATTCAGTAAGTTTGCGCAATACCTGGGATTCCAGCACAGGAAAGTGACACCACGTTGGCCTCAAGCAAATGGTGAGGTGGAAAGATTCATGAAAACGCTCAAGAAAGTCTATCGCTGTGCTATCGCTGAACATAAGTGCTGGAAGCAGGAAGTGTACAAGTTCTTAAGCAACTATCGCGCAACGCACTCTACCACAGGGGTTCCCCCAGCGACACTGTTATTTGGACGGGGGGTACGCACGCGTCTCCCTGAAACGCCATCCACTAGTTTGCAACGTCGCGATGACGTCGACACTTTCGTCCGCGATCGCGATCAAGAAAAGAAGCAACGCATGAAGAGCTACGCCGACAACCGCGGAAAGACTCGCACATCTCGAATCGCTGTTGGTGACACGGTGCTTGTCCGTAGAGATGGAACGGTTCCAAAGCATCAGTCACCATATCTTCCGCAGCCATACAAAGTGGTGAGATAGCGCGGATCTCGTATCATAGTTCGTTGTGGCAATCACTACATTACGCGTAACTGTTCTCGTTTCAAGTTCTATAGCGGTCCTTTCCCTCACAATCGCCACAACGATGATGATGACGACATTGAAACTGACTTCGCGCCAAACGCACATGATGTCCCAATGCCAGCAGGTCATCCGCCACCTGCTGTACCAAGGCGCAATCCCCATCGCGAGAGCTGTCCTTCATTACGCTTTCGCGATTTTGTACCTTGACTGACTAGTCAAAAGTGAAGTTTTATTCAAATGCCCTGGTCAGAGGTGTGGCCAATAAGCCATATATCCAGAACTATATCAGTGACCAGATGGGTTTTCACTTACGTTGCATTTGTGAATGATGTAATTGATTTACGATATACAGTTGATGTTTTAGTTGATGTTGAAAGCTGTATAGGCATTTTGTTCACATGGTTATAGTTGTGAATTTTAAAATCTTGTTTCTTGTAGGCTGCAGAGTTTTCAAATAAGATGTGTAAAATTTTGAACAGGTTATATTCAGTTAAAAAAAAAGAGTCATAGTCAGCATGTTATCATAAGTAAGCAGTTTGAAGTTCTTCAGTTAATAACCTCGGTTAGCAATTATGTACATGACATTGTAAGCCTAAGGGTTAAACTATTCTTAGCATAAGATCTAAAATTCTATCCAACGTGAGGAGGAATGTAGTATCGTAGATATAGAATCTGTAATATTTATACGTAATCTGTAATATTTATATTATTGTTAAGTTGAGCGGTTATTGTTTGATTCTGACACTAGGTGGCAGCAGGTCACAAGAGCTGATGACAAGCTCAAGCAATACCGGGAAGCGGGTGTATCGTTATTGGTTTCATTTGGTAGAGTTGTGTACGTCTTTTGGTCCAGGAAATCGAACAGAAATCGGTCACTCACATTAAAAGCATGAACCAGTAAAACTCAACTAATGTGTCATTAGTGTTATTTGTTTTGGACATTCAAACATTACAACCACCACCACCACCATGCGCTATATGGGCCGTAGGAAAGTGTACTAACTCTAATATATCTCGCGAACGAATTGAGTTACATTTCTCTAGGCTAATATATTATACGCACGGCTATGGACGGTAGAAAGTGTACTAACTATCATATGGTGCGAACGATTTGAGTTATATTTCTAAAATTCTAGATTCATATGTCTTTGCTGTGGTGTCTGTGAATTTTGAGTTTATTGAAGCACGAATAGTTTAATTAATTACCAAAAATATACGTGCGGTATCATAGGCTAATATACGCACGGCTATAAACGGTAGAAAAGTGTATCTATATATAAAGTTGTTCAGCCGAATTTGTGTGTTCGCGCATAACTAGAGAACTCCGCAGCCTAGATGAAAACTAAAGATATTTTCAGAATCAGCACGTCTGGGAAGGGGTTCTGGCTGAAAAAAAAATTTAAAAAAAATTAAAAGTTAAA